CACTGCCCTGTCCCACCAGCTCCCACCTGCCCTGGGGATGTCTTTCAAGATGGCCCTTCTGAGGCTCTGCCACCTAGATTTCCCCGGGACACAAGTGTCACGGACAAGACAGGGAATGACTGAGGGGTGTTACTTGAGCCTGGGGGTGGGGTGAGGATGGGGGCCATGTAGGTGCAGGCAGGAGGGCAGAGGAGGAAGCCTGGTGGGCAGGGAGGGGGAGCTGCTTTCTGAACAATCGATAAGCAGAAAAAGGCAGCAGTGAGGTATGGGGAGGAGGCCTTGGTTTCCCTCCTCTCTGGCCCTGAACCCCTGGACAGCACCCAGGACATCATTTGAACCATTCTCCAGTCCAACTCCTTCATTGACAGTGAGGAATTTGAAGCCCAGAGAAGTGAAGGGATTTACTCAAAGTCACCCAGCAAATTTGGTGGCCCTGCTGAGATCACAACCCCAGGCTCTAGACCCTGGCCAGTGCTTCTAAAAAAGCTAATGAATCCTTCAAAAAGCTGCCAGCCAGGTACCCACCATAACTCCAGCTGCCAGGCCAGCAGGGGTGGATGGGCCCCAGCCTGCGCAGATCTGCAGCCGGAACAGCTGTGCCAAAGTGGCACCTGACAAACAGGGACCCAGTGGAGCCTGCCACGGCCACTCTCGCCCAATCCTGCACTGGGAGGGGGAAGGTTGGGCTTAACCCTTGCCTCCCCCCTCCCCCACATGTGTCCAGGGAATCCCAGCAGGCAGCCGGCTCGGGCAGCCTCTCACGCTCCCCCCTCACAGCTGTAGCTGAACTGTGCTGGGAAAGGGACACAGGGACACCTGGGTCCCCTACTGTCATGGCCCAGCCCTTTTCCCTCTTGAAGAGACCTCAGGGAGCCATGGGGGTTGGGGAGGGATTCCATCTGAGCCCCAGCTGCTCTGGGATTGGAGGGGCCTGCCCCGCCCTGGGGAAATCAAAGGGCAGGACCCTCAGCACCTCCCCCGCCTGCCCTGGAGAGCCAGGCCCAGAGGGCTGCAGCAAGGACAGAAATAGCCCTGACTTTCCAGGGAGGGAGGCTCTTTTTTGGTCTCCAGTGTGTTCCGGTCCCCTTGCAGCCACCACGGGTCTACGGAACCTGCAGGCTCCATGGCGAGCCAGGACCATGAACCCGGGTGGAGCAGGAGGTAGTGGGAGGCTCAGAGAAGGGGGATCACTGAGGACCCGGAAGTGGGAAGGGAGGAAGGGGAGAGGAGAGAGGGGTAGGGGAGCTGGAATCCCAGGGGGAGTGGGAGGATAGTAAGGGGGGCCTCGTCTTATCAGTGCTAATCAAAGATGACCACAAGGCCAAGCCAAGGGCAGGAGCCTTTGGCCAAGCGCCAGTCCAGGGTGTGAGAAGATCAGGGCAGGCAAGCCCAGGGGAGGGTGTGAGCCAACATCCAGGCCCCTCCAGCTCTGGCCTCTGACAGCAGCCTTCCCCACACCACCGGACGGAAGAGAAGACGGATGCGGGAGCCCAAAGAAACCCAGAATCTAATTTTAGCCCAGAATTCCCGCCTCCCCTGCTGACAGTGAGCAAAGCCTGGGAGGGTGGGAGCTTCGCACCCCCTGCCTGGGCTCCTGCTGTAATGGAGGTAACCAGCAGGCAGCGCTACCCCAGAGCCACTGGGGTCTCTGTAGTTGAGAAGCCCAAGCTCACATAGGGCAGGGGCTTTGCTGGGCTGGAGGGACCTGGCCTGGCCCCATAGCCAAGGAGGCAGAGGTGAGGCCTGTGAGTGACACCACTGAGATTAGATTGCGGGGGTTCATGTCCTGGTTCTGGGTGACCTCAGCCAAGTCTTCCCTCTGCCTCAGTTTCCTTGTCTGTGAAATGGGGATAATAATCACAACCATTTCAGAGGATGCATGTCAGGCACTGGGCCCTAACAGCTCAGAGCTTTCATTATTCTTCTCACCACAGCACATCTTGGGGGCCCCAAACTGGTCTGTTACTCCAGGCCTGGTGCCCAACCCTGCACCTACTGAGGCACAAAGGTAAGAAAAACACAGCCCAATCCTGCCCATGATGCTGACTCTAAGAACAACTGATTAACTGTATGAACCTTTGTGTATGGACCCTCCAGGGAGCTGGGGCAGGAGGAAGAGGGCAGAGATGGAGTCCCACGCTGGGGAACCTGGGGACCACAAGGCAATCCCCCATGGGCAGGCAAGGACATTGAGACCCAGAGAGGGACCAAGCTCTGCCCTGGGCACCCTGACAAATGGTGGCAGGGGCAGGACATGAACCCTGAGCTCCCCACCTCCTCCTGCCCTGCCACCCACAGCAACCAGGACCTGTGAGCAGAAGGCCTGGCCAGTACCCGGGATGCAAAAAGTTGCCCAGGAGTGACTCCAGCTGAGCTGATGCCTCCTCCCCATTGGCAGCAGGTGGTAGCTGGGCCAGGTCTCACCCCCGCTTGGCAGCACCCCTCACACACACACACACACGCAAGGTGTGGATCATGCAGAGGATGGGGAGTGGGCAAAGGCCTCATGAGCCCACAAGCCTCCCTCCACCTCGAGTCCCAGGGGCAGGTCAGCCAGGCCCTTCTGCCACAGGTCCCTTCTGAGCTGGGGTCGGAAGTGCCTCCTGCCACAGTGCTTCAGAGAGAAGTTCTCAACGGCCATCCCCAAGCAGAGGCTGCCTCTCAAGTGTATCCCCTGCGATCTAAGGATCTAGGTTCTCGCAGAGCAGGTGCAGCTGGAGGGGTCTTCCTAATCCTCCTCTGCCCAGCTCTTCTTCAAGTGTCAGCTGCATTGGGGCCTCCCTTCAGTAGGTACTTCTTAAGAAAGGAGTCTCCGGCAGGTCGATGTGCCTGGCCAAGACAGCTCACATCCACCTGGCCACTTGCCCAGCACCCCTGCTCACTCCCTGTCCCCCGCCCTCACCCCCAAGTGATTTGCTAGGATTACTCCTGGAGAAGGGGGGCTGCAACCTCTGCTGTCCTGAGCCTCCTCATCAACCCAGTAACCCTCAGAGGGCCTCGGGGTGGAACCAAACACAGGTCCTACTCACAGAGAACTGCAGGAATGGGGTGTGGGAGGAGGCGAAGGCCAGATCAGGAGCCAGAGGTCCTGGATCCAGCCCCAGCTGCACCACCTACCAGCTGGGTGACCTTGGGCAAGTCTGCTCCTCGGCTTCCCCATCTGAGAACTGAGTAAGACCGCAAAGTGGGGACAAGCCAAGTACAGAACCTGGAACACAGTGGGCTGTCAGCAGATGTTTCCTGAGTATGGGCCTGTTATTCCTTGAATCTGGATGCAATTCCTTCAGTATGGAGGTGTAGTGAGATGGGCAACCTGCATTCTTCATCCAGCTCTGCCTCCATGTGTCCATGTGAGGTCACCTGAGGCAAGTCACCTTCTCTCACTGGGCTTCAGTCTCTTCCTTAATAAAATTCAGGGATTGGACTGAGCTGTCAGGAATGGAAAACCTGGGACACACATACCATCACTTATACATTCTGTGGCAGTGGCAGACATGAACAATCAATCACAGCACTGCTGCCTACTGAATCCAGCCACACACAGTTTCAGAATCTCCAGACACCCAGCGCCACTGAATGAGAACTGGCCCAGGAGATGAAACCATAATTTTTCTGCACCTGGATTTCACAGTTTTGTGATTCTGGGACCCAGCAGCTGACCTGGAGTGTGTTTCCTCTTTTTTGTAAAATGACCACTCTCAGCAAGGTTGTAAGGATTAAATAAGATAATGTATTCAAACTGGGCTTGCAAATAGTCTCACTCCAGCAGGGGTAAGTTTCTGCCACCATTTCCAGAGAGGGGGCAGGGTGCTCTACTTCTAAGCCCAAGGGCTTGCCCTTTGCAGACCCTCAAGCTATGGGGAACAGTGTGGGCCAGTGGAAAGAGCTTGGGCCTGCATGACCCCAGGCAAGTCATTATAGCTTTCTGGGTCTGAGTTTCCCTGGATAAAATGGGCTGACACTTACCTCGCAGGTTGGCGTAGGATTAAATGAGATAATCAGATCAAGTGTCAGAAGAGCAACTGGCTCAGTGAAAGGGAGTCAATGACCCACCCTCATCCACCTGTGTCAGGCCTCTGGGCTCAGTAGGGGGCGCTCTGGCAGGTGGGAGGAACTGGGAGCAGGGCAGGGCCTGTCTTTCTTGTTAAGTCCTCAGCAAAGCCCATGTCCCCACGTCCACCTATGGTGGTGGATACTGGAGCATCTGCTGATTGTCCCTAGCAGAAGCAGGGCCCCGCGAAAGTATGGGGGTAGTAACAGTGTAGATTCTGGGTGAATGTGGGAGTATCAGGGTGGCCTCACACCAAGGACTCTCACACCAAGGGTCACAGCTCCTCCCTCCACCCTCCATTCCCAGGGCTCTGCAACTGGTACTAGCCCTGCTCACAGCCTCCTGCTGCCAGCCTGCTCTCTGTCCCCCGTCCGTGGGACCAGGCCAACCTGGTTCGGGCCCCAGAGGCTGCCCTCTCCAAGGCAGCTAGGTGGCACAGGAAGGCTGCTGTACCGGATCACCCAGCAGGGCTAGCGTGGGACTGTCTCTCAAAGTCTGTCAGAAATCCACCCAACACAACAGCCTTTGCATGTGCCCTTCCGCTGCCCAAAACACCTTCCTGTCTTGACACTTGGTTACTCCTGCTCTTCTCCCAAGATCCAGCCCAGAGGCCACCTTCTCTGGGAAGCCCTCTTCCCTTCTCTTCCTTCCCAAGCACCCAGTCTCAGGCTCCTCTGGCCACCGTCACCCCCACTGGCCTGTAATCACGGGTAACGATGTTGCGTGGACAACAGCAGGCAGGCAGGTGGGGGTGCCAGCGAGCCCCACCTGGGGGAGGAGAGGGAAACTAGCCCTGGGAGGGGGCCCCAGCTCACTGGGCCACACCCAGAGTCTGCTGTGCAAGTAACTGAGGACTAACCACTCCTGGCAGCCCTTGGACAACAAGGACACAGCTCGATTATTACAAAATATCCTTTATTGATAAAATAGCTCAGACTTTTTAAAAACGCCTGCATGTCACAACAAGGGGTCACAGGCAACACTGGGGCTCCCATGGGGCACACACAAGATCAGTCAGCAGATGGTCCCAAGTCCGTCCCTCCCTTGGGCCCAGTCCCCCAGCCACGCCCCAGGGTGACAATGTGGCCTCACAGCTGCAATCAACCAAAGGCCAGGCTGGAAAGCAACCCCCAGGGGGGACTCCTTTTTGTCTCCCCCCCATCTTCTCCACCCCAGAAAACCCACTCACACCCTTCCAAATCTGACAGGTCCATGTGGTGCCAACACCACCCAAGCTAAGATGCCCCGGGCCCAAGGCTGAAGCCAGGCACCCCCACAGGGAAGACTGGCAAACATCCTTTCCATATTTCCAATTGTTCTGGGTGGGGTGGAATGAGAAAGGGGGGGCCCTTATTGTGGAGGTTGGGGGGCCAATGTGGCAGGGTCTGAAGCGGCCAGCAGGCACCCATCTGAGATGGGATTAGTTATGCTTCACAAGGACTCATTTGGGACTTGGAGACCTGCTTGGGTACTCCAGCTGAAGGCTCCCCCAGGGGTCTATGGGACCCCCATGGCAACACCCCACCTGGGGGCTCTGCCACTTGCCACAGGCTCTTATCTTAGACCGTTCCCATGGTATGGGTATTTTGAGCCATCTTGGGGAAACAATTTGCCTGCTTGGTGACAAAAGACTTATCCCCCACTTACGGGGTCGGGGGGCGGGCGGTGGCGCAAGCCACTGAAAACCCTCTTGGTGTTGCAGATGAAATGTTGAAAAGTTGTCATGCAGCATAATAACTCCATCTTTGCAGGCACAAGAACACATTCTCAAAGAAATCCTTTAACTTGAAACAGTGATTCTGTCTGCCACTCCCCACTTCCAGTTTGGGGTAGGAATTCACACACCCCAGGCACAGAACAAAAGTCTACAGGAAGACAGGTGGTGGTAAACACGGAGAAAAGGGATTTTTACATCACCAGATAATCACATTTTCTGGCTCTCTAGTGCATTCCCCCATGGAGCTCAAAGTGTTCTGCAAAGCCTCTCATCTCCCTGCAGCAAGTAGGCAGCAAGCTATTGTTACCCTGGTTTTTGCAGGGGGTGAATGCCAGTGATCGGGCATCTCCCGTCGAGGCAGAGGCCAGGCCTCCTGACTGCCCCACCGAGGCAGCCATGTGCCCACCCCCCTTCCAGAGGGGTGCTGGGTGAGGAAACAGATCCACGGTCTGGCCTTTAAAGGATCCACAAATCCAAAAGCAGGGGAAAGATGGTCCCAGAGACAGTGCCATCCCGTGAACCCCTCATCCCAGTGCCTAATGGGGACCATGACTGCCCAACGTGGGTGAACAGTCTTCATTTCTTCCTCCTCCTCAGCAGTAGGCCCTCCTGGGAAAAGTGGAAGGCTGGCTTCCTGCTCTTTGTGGGTGGGGGGAGATGAAATAGAAACAAAAATACCACAAACAAGCGACCTGCTGAAGAACACAGGGTCCTCAAGAAGAGGAAGCCCACCCATTGGCCTGTAAAGGTCTGGGGTTCTGGGAGGAAGATGCTGTATTCTAGCCAGGCCTTGGCTACATTCAAGAACCTGCAAGCCTCATCCATGTGCCTGTGATCAGGCAAGGGGTGGAGAAGAGGTCCCCCAAAGCCAAGCCAGGAAGGGAGGTTTCACGTGAACCCCTGGGACCAGCACCTCTGCCCCACCCCACCCAAGGGGCTCTTAAGATGAGCCCTGCAGGATCTGGGCAAGAACCAGAATACCCCAGGAAGGCGGCCACACAAAGCAGGGCAAGCAGCATGGTGGCCCTGGTGCCACTTGGCACCAACCCCACACAGGCAGCAGCAGGTGGGCTCACCAGGCTGTCTGGGTCCACTGGCGACAAAGGATCCTTCGGAAGGCACGGCGAAAGTCCTGGTTGAAGATGGTGTAGATGACAGGGTTCAGTGAGCTGTTGCAGTAGCCAATCCAGAAGAAGAACTGGAAGAGGCCATGGGGCACCTTGCAGTGCTTCGGGCAGATGGCGCCCAGGCTGTAGCTGAAGAAGAAGGGGAACCAGCAGAGGACAAAGACACCGATGACCACAGCCAGCACGAAGGTGAACCGTTTCTCCCGGGTCAGCTGTGCCCGTCGACGCCACCACTGCCCACCCACAACACCCACAGCCCTGCCCAGGAGCACCTGACCACGTAGGGTGGCCAGCACCCGGGAGCCCTGTGGCTGCTGCAGAGATGGGCTGCAAACTGAGGCAGGAGACACTGGCACTGCCTTAGGCTCACACTCTTCCTCCTCCTCCTCCTCCTCTTCATCGGCTTCCTCCTCTGGAGATGCCCCACAAACACCCTCCTTCTGGTCATGGCCTGAGTTGGAAAGGGCAGCCCAGCTACGTGGCAAGGACCGGCTCCCAGCATCTTCAGGGGTCTCCCCATCCTCCTTCTCCCCAGTGGTCTTGGAGCGTCCCTTGGCCTCTCCCGCAGAAGCCAGAGGAGAGGCCAGGGTTGGCAGCTTAGCTGAGGCCAAAGTCCCCCCAGGGACGGGTCGGGGCTGCTTGGACTCACCCTTCCCAGGCCCCGCCTTGGCCCTTGGGCCTCTGCGGTGGCTGCGTTTGGCGATCAGGTAGATGCGCAGGTAGACAAGGATCATGATGAGGCAGGGAGCAAAGAAAGATCCGATGCTGGAGGACAGGATGTACCATGCCTCTTGGTTGAGCTTGCACTGGGGGCGCCCGCGGGGCTGGGGGCCCTGGTCGCCCTTGTAGATGAGGGGCGGCAGCGAGATGACAGCTGCGATGAGCCACACGGTGAGGATGATGCACTTGATGCGGCGCGGGGTGCGCTTGGAGTTGTACTCCAGCGCGCGGCTAACAGCCCAGTAGCGGTCCAGGCTGATGGCGCACAGGTGCACGATGGACGAGGTACAGAAGAGCACGTCGAGTGCCAGGTACACCTCGCACCATGTGCGCCGGAAGTACCAGTAGCCCAGCAGCTCGTTGGCCAGCGAGAAAGGGATGATGAGCGTAGCCACCAGGATGTCGGCGGCGGCCAGCGACACCAGGAACAGGTTTTGCGGGGCGCGCAGCGAGCGGCTGGTCAACACAGCCAAGATGACCAGCGCGTTGCCGAAGATGGTGAAGAGGATGAGGAAGGTGATGGCCGCCGCGATGGCCGCCGTGGCTTGCACCGAGTAGGGCTCCTGGTGGTCCATGGCTGGGCCGGACGCGGACAGACGGAGCGCTCCCCGCCCGGCGCGCGCACCGCGGGCGAGAGCGCTGCCCTGGCTAGGCTAGACGAGGGGGTCGCCCCACTGGCGGCGCTGAAGGCGCTGGAGCCCCATGGCCTGGCCGAACGGGGCCTAGGAGGTCGGGGGACACCCGGAGCAGGCCACCGCCCTCCTACATCCTCTTCCACCAGCGCCCGGCGTCCCTGCCGCTGGCCCCAGAGAAGTTTTCCAAGTTGTCCCGCTGCCGTCCCCGTCCTGCCCGGGACAGGGGAAAGTAGCGTCCTCCCGCCACACGGCCGCCGCGAGCACGGTGGGGCGCGGGCCGAGCGGACCGGACGGGGGTGGCGCCGCCGGGTCTCCGAGGAGGTGCGGAGGCCGAGGCGCCAGCTCCGCTCGCAGGCTCTCACCCGAGCCGTGCCTGCAGGCAGCCCGCCGCGGCAAGAGAGTGGGGAGGAGAGCGAGCGCGGCTGGAGGAGGGAGGAGACTGGAGGCGGGAGCGGGAGGAGGGGAGGGAGGCGGGGCGGGCGATCGGACCGAGGGTGGGTGGAAGGTGCACTTCGCGGGAGGGCGGGCAGATGCATCCTCCCCGCGGCCCGGCCTCCGCCTGGCGCCCCCACCCCTATTCCTCCCGCAGCCGCGCCTCGGGAGGTCAGAGGGGCCCAGCGTCTGGGGTCTTCGGGGCTTTGGGAAGGACGCGGGCAGAAGTGGAAGGGTCGGTGCGTGCGGGGAGCTGGGACGCAGAGCTGGTGCGTCTGCGGGCACCGAGGCGGGACCACTTTCCTGAGTACCCTGGGGCTGGGGCCAAGCGCCGGGGTCTAGGACGGTGGGCGCGAGCTGGGCTCTCCTCCTGCCGCCCACGAGCCCCAAGGAAGGGTGGGTCAGTGTGTGGGTTGGGGCGCTGGATCATAATAAGCCACAACGCCACCGGTCCCCCCGGCAGTGAAGAAACCCAGCGGGGGAAGGGACCGGGGAGACAGTCCCAAACCCCTTCCCCAAACGCTTCCCCGCCAGGCTGGGCTCCGTCGGGCCTGTGGAGCCCGAAGCGGCGCGCGGAGCCGGCTCGCGAGCGCCCCCTGCTGCCGCCCGCGTGCCGAGACGGCCTTCGCCGCACCCTGGGGGCGCTGGAAAGGCTCCAACCCCGAGAAGCGGTTTGTGACCAGCTTTCCTGTTTCTCCCGCACCTGCCCCAGTTTCCTCTAGTAAGGGTAAAGGAGGTAAGAGGGAAACTGGCGTGGACTCAGATCACAGCAGCAACCGAGACTCAACGAAGGGTTTGCATGGGGGGAGGGGGCGTGGCGAGCTGCAGCCTCTTGGCCAATCGGGGGAGGAGGTGAGGTCCCTCGGCTGGAGCAGAGCAAGGAGACCTTGCCGGGCTAGAGGGCGGGGTCTTCTTACAGCTCCGAGAAAAGGCAGGTCTCAGGGGCAGCCGCGAAGGGAGGAGCTTCCCTTTGCCTCTATAGTGACCGCTGGGGAAGGGGTCGACCCCCCTCTCTGCTCCAGTCCTGCCTGGCTCCCCCACAGACACCGAAGCCCCTTGCTGGTGGCAGTGGAAAGGCGCTTTGGGGTAAAAAGAAATTTCAGACTAAGCCCCCCTCTTCAAAGAGCTGCTGAGCAACTGCTCTCGCTCTGGTACTCTGCCCACTCTCCCTGCCGCGCCCAGCACCAGCCTGGGCAGCCTCGAGGGCGTTTTTTCATAGTTTCTGGAGCCCCCTAGTAAGCCCAGCCTAGAGCCAGGCCTCCTATTTACAGCCCACAGGTCTGCATGGCATCTCCGCATAAATAAGCATCACCCCTCCTTTGAAAGTGGGGCTCCAGCAAAGGCCCCCCCCCCAAGCAGCACTTCTAGCCCTTCACTCCTCCTTCCCACCTGCCTGGGAGCAGAGTGTGTGACCTCTCAGTGGTGCAAAGTCTGACCCCTACCCAGGCTCAGATGGGAGATACCCCAGACCACTCCCTACAGCCGCACCTCCTTGATCCCCCCCACCCCCGCCTGTCCCTGTCATCCTGCCTGACTGCCCAGCTCTCAGGTTAGATGTGAGTGCCCATCAGCCCAGTGGGGTGGGTGTTGCTTAGGCTAAGTTTGGAGAGGGCAGCCCACCTCCTCTGCCACCCACCCCCAAGGCCTCAGCCTGCAGCAGACCACCCCAGAGACTGGCTTTACGGATGCACCTTTCCCGTTTGCTGGGCTGGGCGGGGCAGGGCAGGGCCTGGGCCCACGGTCACCAGGAATGGAGAGGCCCCAGTAACCCCTTCCCTGAGGAAGAACAGAGGGGTGGCCAGTGGTGCCTGGGAAACAGCTACTTAGGCAAATCCTTGCCTGTCCCCATTGCTCCCTGCACCAGGTTCTGCAGAGTCTGGGCACCCTTGGGACCCAAGTGGGCATCAGAGGAATTGCCTTTCCACCACTCCCAACCACCCTCAGGCTCAACCAGCATCAGCCTTTTGTCCTCTGGCCCGTTTTCCTTCAAGGGCCAGGCCTCCAGGACACTGCAGGAACCAAGGCCAGGGTTGTCCACATACCCTACCCCCTCAGGATGCTCACCTGGGCCTTCCCTGAAGTGGCAACTTAGGCCCACTGAGTACCAGGTCCTGCGGGGCACTCTCTACCAAGCCAGTTGGGCACTAGGCCAGGTGGGGACAGCCAGGGACAGAGTCTACAGCTGGCAGACTTGGGAGATGTGTGCCCTCTGGGTGGCGGGAGCTCCTTGACACCTATGAGGCTCAGCTGTTGCCCCAGGCTGTGTTGCCTTCTGCCTCCACCATGGCCGCCTCCTCCCAGCCCCACCCAGGATGCACAAGCGTGGCATGGCTGCCGTTGGCTGTGCAGGGCAGTGAGGGCTGTTATCTCACTCAATTCCCACTCGTGTCTGTGGCTCTCCATATCCCCCACACACACCGCCAGGCTTTGCCTGTCCACACACCCACGTGGCTGCCAGGTGCAGGAATCAGAGCCCACGGCCGCAGCAAGGCTTCCGTCGGCTCTTCCCAGGCTAGACCTGACCTTCCACCGTCATCCCGTTCCCCCAGGGCTGGTAGAGTTTGGTCCCAGACCTACAACAGCCAGCAACAGGAGCTGCCTAGAATGTTCCCAGCCACGTGTGGGGGCAGTAGCATGAGGACACCACCCGGATCCCAGCCCTCCGCCCCTGCGCCACCACGCTAGTGCTGGGCCCTGGACGTGCTCCGGGTCCCCACCCCTCCAGTCCTTTCCAGGTGCTGTCTGCTCTGCCAGAAACACCTCTTGTCCCTCCTTCTGTGCTTGGTGGGCCCCTACTCATTCTTCAAGTTCCACTCACTTGTCACCACCCTCTCAGAGGGAGGTCCCCTGTTCTCCAGGTTTCCTGATGCCACACACACAGAGTACCACATTGACACTTAGCACACTGTGCTAAGATGGTGTCTGATGGGTTCGTTTTGTCACCCCCAACCCCATCAGAGCAGACATCCCTTCTGTGTCCCCAGTACTTGGCCCAAGGTCATTGGCTGGTGACAGCAGCAGTAGGTATCAGTGTATGCATATACCCAAGCATTCTCAGACAGGTAGTGTTCAAGTGAAGGTGCCCTGAAGGGACATCCTTGGAAAGAGGGGCCATGGGGAAAGATGACCTAATACGTAGTAGGCGATACCATCTTGTTCAAAGCAGGGCAAGACAATTGTCCCATGGCTGGCTGTGAGAGCCCAGAGAGAGATCTGGTGTCTTAGTTGAAAGCCCTGGAGCCACCTCTTCTCCAGGCCCGAGAGGTGAGGTGGTGGCACAGCAGCCCACAGCAGTGCTCTCTGCCCCCTAAGGGCCCACCGAGACTGATGCCCACTGTGCTGCACAACCCAGCTTTCCCCAGAAGCCCCAGCCTTTCGAGTCCCTGGGACCCTTGTCCCTAGACCACCCTGTGTGACCCAACTGCCCCACTTCCCAGAGCCTTGAGTCATGCCCTCTGTAGCACAAGTCAGTCATCCTCTCTCTCAGCCATAAAGCACCTGACAAAACCCCAGCCCTGATCAAACCTAAATCATCCACCCACTGCCTGCCTTCAACCAAGCAGCTGCTTTTTCCGGAGCAAAACACTCTCTGCATCGACTGGCCTCACTTTAAATGCATGACCACAAATCTCCAAACTTTCCTAGTACGCTCACTCTCCTGCTCCTTCAAAATCAGCCTCCCTCCCTCTCCTCTCCAATCTCCCAGCCTCTCGCCCGCTGTGACTCTGCCTGGTTCTTAGGAGAAAATGCTAGTCATGGAGCAGGAACTCACCCCCCATGCCCACCTGCATCTGAGCCTAACTGTGTGTGCTCCACTGGAAGAGCAAGTCCTCTGCTTGTGCCCTAGAGCCCACCCCCTCTTCCAGCCCAGGGCGCCACTCCTTCCATTACCCAGCTCATGCCCATGGCCCATGCCCACGGCCCCCACAGCCTCCCTTCTCCAACGTTTGCCTCCAGGCACCATCTCTGACTCCTCGCGTCTCTCCTTAACCCTTGGCAGGGCATCTGCAGCCCACCCTCCAGTGAGTTGACTCTCCATAGGTCATGTGTGACTCCATGTCACCAAGTGCCAGGGTTATTTCTGTGTCTTCCTCCTTCTCAGCAGCATTTGACACAGCAGACCTGCCCTCGGGACACTCTGCAGGTTCTGCTCCTTCCTTAAAGGCCGCTCCTTCTCAGCCTTTTTCTCCCAAACTCTAAATCAGAGCTTCTTACCGAGAATGATTCCTCCCCACACAAAAGCGATGTTTGTTTGGCAATGTCTGAAGACACCTGTGACTGTCACAACTGGGGAGGGAAATGCTGCTGGCATTGAGTGGGTAGAAGCCAAAGATGTTGCTCAATTTCCTGCAGTGTGCAGGAGAGCCCCCAACCACAACTATCAGGCACAAAATGCTAGCAATGCCAAGGTTGAGAAATGCCCCTGTAAGTGATGCAGCACCCGACTTTGGTCCTGGGACCCCTCTTCTGTATCTAAGCCCATGGCTCCCATGCAGATGCCAGTGGCACTCCACTGTGCATCTCCTGCCCTCCTCCCTCCCCTGAACCCAGGGCTCATTCAGCACACACACACTCCCTGCCCGCATGGTGTCTCACAGCCACCTTGGACTTGACATCCCCATTCTCCCCAGCCCCGCCTCTCCCCACCCAGAGCTGCGCCCTCACCCCTTGCACGCAATCCAAGTGTGGCCACCTCAACCCCCAAGCACACTCCAAAATCACCTGCTTCTGTCCATCTCCACAGCCCCCATCACTCTGGCTTGCGTGACTGCAGTGGCTTCCCAGCTATTCTGCTCCTGACCCATTTTCTAGGATCATCCAGAAAGACTTTTTAAACCTAAGTCACTCCCTTCCTTAGAACCCTCCGCAGCTGCTCCCTGTTGCTTTTGTGATAAAACCCTTATGTCTTGCCTCTTCCTGCTGGGGCCTTTACCCTCTGGGCTCTTTCCTTGGATTTTCACAGGCAGCCACCTCTTGTCACTCAGGTCTCAGCTGAAATGCCACATTCTCAAAGGGGCCCTTCCTGACCAACAACCTAAAGCATTGCTCCCTGCCCCCATCACTGGTCACTACCAGCTGCTTTCTTACTGCCCACCCCATCTTGTCTTCCCCGTGAGTCCCCAGGCCCAGCCAGCCCCCTATCTGCAGAAGAACCTAGATTCGGAGACTAAGAGCCAAATCCTAGTGGAGGCTCGTGGTGAATAGCCTCTGAGCAGGGGGCCTCTGGGCACAGAGCCTATTACCTCCTCAGACCCAGCGTGACTGCCACCAAGCCTCAGCCCAGCGCCGGGGCCCCGGCATGGCCAGCCAGAGGCCGATAGGCTGTGAGGCAGCCATTTCTGAGCGCTGGGGCCACTACACCACTGCCTCTATTCTAGGTTTGGCCCAATGTCTCCACCTGGAAGGCTCCAAGTGGGGCTGTCACCCTCCTAGGGGCAGGGCCAGAGCCCCTACTCACCCACTCTAGACAATGTCCCCCCACCCCAGGATCCTTCCCTCATGCTAATGCCCAAGTGTCAAAACTGACTCCAGACTGAAACCCAAGACAGACTGAAAGAGGCTCCAGAGTCCATAAGCGTGTCCTCACAGCCCCTGACACAGCCCCAGCACAGGACCATCCAGAGGCTGGCAGAGGCCAAGCTCTCCCTTGACCTTAAGAAGCCCAAGTCTCAGCCCTGCACAGCTGCTCCCCAGCCACACCACCCTGAGCCTCTGCTCCCGAAGCCTGTTCCCTCCCCGGTGGTGGGTGTAACCCAGGCACAGAGGCACAGCACACAGGTGATCAGCATGGCTCAGTGCACACGGCGGGCACCAGCTTTATTCCGCCTCCCCCAAACACTTGAGGCTCCTGCCCACCCTGACCCCAAGCAGGGCCTCCTTGACCTTCTGACAGGCCACAAGAACAGTGCCCCTGGGGACTGAGAGGCTTCTAGCCCACGCCCACTCACTGACACCCTGGAGACTGTCTTCATTCCTGGAACAAACCTCACAGGGAAGGCCCAGAGCCAGGGAAGAGAAGTGGGGATCGTCCTTGTGTGCTTGCTGAGGGTCCCACAGTGCAGTCCTGATAAGGCCCCCACTTCTTTCTCCGCTCCATGCGGGCAGCACCCTCAACCCCGCACCTTCCTGTTCTACAGGGGAGCGAGTTGGATTCTTAAAGCCTCCGGGAGAGCAGGCTAGAGGCTACGGCTGCAGAGCAACACCCCCAGCACCTGGACTCCAGGGATAGGAGGCTGTTCCCAAGGTCTAGGCCACATGGGGAGGTGGGGACACCACCATTAGTGCATGCTGGGGGCTGGGCCTCAACCACAGGAGGGCTTCCAGGGGCCTGCAGGGCTGGAACCTGCTTCCTCCTGACTTACCCCCGCCCCAACCAGGACCTTGACCTTGTCCCTGAAGAATGTCGCTTCCCATTTCCAGCATCTTCCAGGGCTGGGGCAGGAGTCAAGAGCAGACAGAGCCAGGCCTGCCTTCCCCGATGATAGACCCTGGGAGCCCTTGGGGGAACACGGTGGGAAAAGGGCAGAGGAAGAGGCCTTGCCTTCATGCGAGGGGGTGGCCAGGTTGGGGCTGGAAGACAGGGGCTGCCTAGAGGGGCCAAGGGTTGGACAACCCAGCTCCTCTGGGCAGAGGTACCTTCCCCACCTGGGGCCAGAAGCCACAGGCTTAATCTCTAGGCATCCCCCTGAAGTGACTTCCCTGTGCACAGCCTTCTGGCAGAGCACGGCTCCCCAGAGCAGCCTGGATAGGCACTGGTTGGTCTCCCATTTCTGAAGATGAGACTGAGGGTTCCGTGGGCACCTGGGCCAGCCACAACTGCCCCAGAGCAAGACCAGGAGCGTCTGCTCCAGGCCTTGGCCTTGGAGAGGAAGCTGGGGACTGAGGTAGCCTTGCTGAGGCCTCCACAATAAACTTCTTCAGGGCAGGGGACTCCCACCCACGTGGGCTGTGTCCAGGCCCTGCGGGAACACGCTGGCCACTCCCAGATTCCGCTGACAGTGCCTCCAGAAGCTGCTGCAGGGGTGGTCTGGGGGCAGGAGCAGGGCTCCTACCGTTGCTGTGGGCTTGGGACCCTGGAGCAGGAAAGACAGGAGGTCAGATCTCAGAATCACTGAAGGAAGGCAGATGGGTCAGCTGCACAGAGCCAGAGCTGGCTCCAGCTTTGTTCATGGGGACATAGAGCCCAGCTCACAGCGCCACTGCTATGCCACCACCTAATGCCTTCAAGATCCAAATTCCCCCACTAGAGACCAGGACAACAGAGCCATCCGTTTTCTCCCCACTGGCACCTGAGGCCACCATCGAAGGTCAGGCCACTCAGGCTTCTATAACCACGGCACTCATCCAAGGCTGCGGAGACAGTTAACCCACCTCACCCAGCACCACAGCAGCCACCTTCCAGATCCCTCAGGCCACTCTGTGCGTGACAATACCCCACCTTTCACCCCACATCTAGGGTCTCTTTCAGAACTATTCTTGCACTTGCAGCCACATCTAAACCCAGGCCACCAGTAGGACACAGCCAAGTGCTCCCAGGCCCGAGCATGGCGCCAGGAGGTGGGTTGGGTCCTCCTTGCTCTTCGCTGCTCCCCCAGACCATGACTGCCACCTGCTACTTCATAAGAACTCTTCATTTTAGGCCCAAGCTCTCTGGCCAGCCGGCCGCCCTAGCCCCTTATCGCTGCCTCTACACCCTGGTCACTCCCAGCCACGGAGCAAGGACTTCCCAATGAGCTATTCTTACCTCAGCCAACACTGACCAAATCCACACTGACATGCTTCAACTGGCGACTCCTCTTCCCTGCCTAGTCCCGCTGACCTGACAGCCCATACCCGCCCCCCTGAGGTGTCATGTCTAAGAAGGCTGCAATTCCTGAGGACTTAGATCCCTGCTGCCACCTCCTACAGCTGCCACCTCTGCTCCAGCTCACTGGCCAAGGCAGCAGGCTCTGCAGACCCGCCAAGCCCCTGCACACTCCTCACCTGGCTCAGGCTCCACAGTCCTCATTGCAATCACTTCCTCGGAGGCTGCTTCCACAACCTTCCCTTCTGTCACACCTGATCATAAAACCCCAGTCCTGGAGGACCAAGCCCCCCCGCCCCACCTCCCACCTGCACAACCCCAGCCACAGCCCTGCCACATGTATCCCCACCAGCTTCATCTCCTGCTGTCCCATCAGCTGCTTCGTGTGTCCTCCTTTATCCCATCCCATCCTCCCCACCTCTCTGGCAGCCTCACCTCACTCTTCATGGGACCGAGGCCCCCTCCTCTGCACAGCAAGATCCTCCTGCAAACTCAGGTTTGCTCCTCCTTCTTCCTTCCCATTAGGTCTGGGGAAGTGCCTCAGCTCCTACCAAGGGCAGCCCTTCCCCAAACATTCTGGGTGTTCTCTCTCCCCACCCCCATGTCAACTCCTTTTCCAGTAGGTCACCATTTCGGCACCCAAACATGCCTCGTGTTCACCGTCTCGATAAAACCTTCCTTGACCACAGCCCCTTCCACCTCTCAATTCTCCTCTCCCCATGATAGTCCTCTAGAAAAGTTCCCACAGAGCTCTTGCTACATCATCTCCTGTTCTTTAGTTTTTTTACAAGAGGTACATAATATTTAATACAGTAGAAGTATGTAGGCGGAAAAATAGTCTTTAACAAGTGGTGCTAGAACAACTGGATAGCTACATGCAAAAGAATGAAGTTGGATTGGACCCTTTCCTTACACCCTACACAAGAGTTCACTCCAGATGATCACGCGGACCCAAATGTAAAACCTAGAACTGTAAGACTCTGAGATGAAAACATAGGAGTAAATCTTTGTGACCTGGAGTTAGGCAAAGCCTTCCTAGGCATGACACCAAAAAGCAGTGATGAAATAGGTAAGTTGGACTTCCAAATTTAAAATGTTGGTTTCAAAGGATACCACGAAAAAAGTGAGATGACCCATAGAATGTGAAAAAGCATTTCCAAATGATATATTCGATAAGGACATGTGTCTAGAATATATAAAGAACTTTTACAACTCAGCAAAACAGACAACCCATTTGAAAAACTGGCAAAGAATCTGAACAGACATTTCTCCAAATATATACAGATGACCAAAGAGCACATAGAAAGATGCTCGTTAGTCATTAGGGAAATGAAATCAAAACCACAATGACATACATGACACCCAGTAGGAATGTAATAATCAAAATGACAAATAACAAGTGTTGGCAAGGATATGGAGAGACTGGACACTGCTGGTGGGAATTAAAAATAGCGTAGCCACTTGGAAAATGTTTTAGCAGTTAAACATGGAGTTACCATAGGACCTAGAAATTCCACTCCTAGCTATATACTCAAAAGAAATGAAGATGTGTTAACACAAAATCTTATACACGAATGTTCATAGTAGCACTATTCATAGCAACTGAGAAGTAGAAACCACCAAAGTATCCTTCAACTGATGAATGAATAAAATATGGTATATAAGATATGGGAATGTTATACAGCAATTTAAAAGAATAAAGTATTGATACACGCTACAACATGGATGACCTCTGAAAACATTAAAAAGCTAGGCACAAAAGGCCATATGATTCTACTTATGTGAGGTGCTCAGAATAGGCAAACCCACAGAGACAGGAAGCAGACTAGTGATTACCTGGGGCTGGGGCAAAGGCGTGGGGTGGGGGCGGTTACTCACATGCAAGATGACCTAGGAGTAGAATCTGGGTCATGAGATATGCACATTTCAACTACCCAAGATGTAAGATTGTTACAACCACTTTAGAAAACAATTTATACTCCTATCAATAGCGTATGAATGTCACCATGCATTGATCCTTCTCCTTCCCAGTATTTGATATTACTGGGTTTTTAAATTACTGCCAATTTAGTGGGTTTAAAAAGGTATTATAGTCTCCATTTGCATTTCCTCAGTTACTAATGAGGTTGACCATCTTATGTGTTTCCCATTTGGTTTCTTCTTGAAATGTCTATTGAGTCTCTTGACTGTTTTTCTATTTGGTGGTTTCATCTTTCTTATTAATGTGTAGTTCTTTACATATTCTGTATTCCACCAGTTATGTGTTAACACATACAAAAAAATCTCTTCTAGTTTGTAACTTGTATTTTCACTATATTTGTGGTGTCTTATGGTTAATGTAGTTGAATGTGTGACACTTTATGGTTAGTGTTGTTTGTGTCTTATTTAAGAAATCCTTCCCTATCCCAAGGTCATGAAGACGTCTTACTATATTTTCTTCTAAAAGTTTTAAAATGTCTGCATTTATATCTTATACATCCAGAATTTGTGCATGAGTTACGAATTCAGTTTTTTTAAATGGATACCTAGTTGTCTTAGAACTATTTAATGACAAATCTGTCCTTTCCCTAGTGGTCCATGCCTCTTTATCAAGGTTCTACTTCTGAGTGAGATCTATTCTGAACTTTCCATTCTTTTCCGATAGGTAATTGCCCATCCTTGCTCCAATGCTATGTTTATATAAAGATATTTTATATACATAGATGTATATGCATTTTATATGCCATATATTTATATAAAGATTTCATAAACTATGGCTAAATATCTGTTAGGGCAAGTCTCTCTACTTTTTCTTCAGTATTGTCTTGGCTATTATTGACCTTTCATGTTTTCATATAAATTTTAGAATCACCCTGTCAAGATCAAAATTTGCTGAATTTTTTTGGGGGGTAGGGCAGGTAGGGGCAGGCTGGAGTGCAGTGGTGCGATCATAGCTCACTGCTGGGACTACAGGCACGTGCCACCATACCCAGCTCAAAATTTGAGATTTTTTTTTTTTTTTTTTTGAGACAGAGTCTCACTCTGTTGCCCAGAGTAGAGTGCCATGGTGTCAGCCTAGCTCACAGCAACCTCAAACTCCTGGGCTCAAGCGATCCTCCTGCCTCAGCCTCCCGAGTAGCTGGGACTATAGGGATGCGCCACCATGCCCGGCTAATTTTTTCTATATAGATTTTTAGTTGTCCAAATAATTTCTTTCTATTTTTAGTAGAGACGGGGTCTCACTCTTGCTCAGGCTGGTCTCGAACTCCTGACCTTGAGTGATCCACCCGCCTCGGCCTCCCAGAGTGCTAGGATTACAGGCGTGAGCCACCGCGCCTGGCCTAAAATTTGAAATTTTAAGTGGGAATTTATTCAATCTATAGATCAATTTGGGAAGAATTAAATTTTTGTAACATTGTCTTCCTATCAATGGCTGATATATATGTATTGCAGTATTCTTTAATGATTTTAATAAAGGTTCATTTTTTTCCCCATGAAAGTTTTTTACAACCTCTGCCAGACTTATCCCTTGGCACCTAATTTTTATTATTGTAATGGTATGTTTTTCTAACACTACGTTTTCTAACTGTGGGTATACAGAAATACAACTGGTTTTCATATACTGATTGTATCTACCATTTCTGTTTCTCATTAGCTCTAGTAGTTTGTTCACAGATTGTTGCTTTAGTCACCTATGAACAGTGAGTTTTTGCTTTCTTTCCAATCCCCAGATTTTTCCTTTCTTTTCGTCGCACTGCAAAGGCTAAGACCTCCACTACAGTACAATGTTGAATAGATGGGACAAGCGCGGAATCTTGTCTTGGTCCTCATTTTAATGTTTTGCCATCAAAAATGATTTTTGCTCTAGGCTTTTGGCAGATATTATCTAGGTTACAAAAGTGACCCCTATTCCTATTTGCTAGGAGATTTTAGTCATAGGTGAGTGTTAACTTTTTTCAATGCTTTTTCTGCACGGATGGTGGTGAGCCCCAGCTGATCTTATCCCACTCACCTCTGCAACCTCATCTCCCACTGCATCACCCTCCCTGATACCACTTCAGCTCAGGAGCCTTCTTGAGGTTCCTTAAGTCACACTCCCTGATGACTCACCTGTCCCACGGAGGCCGGGGCTGCTTGGGCTGCAGCCGTAGAGCCTGAGGACCCGAGTGATGTCCGAGGCACTCAGGTTCCATCGCTGGCCGATGTGGACGCTGGGGTCCCAGAGCGGCACGATGGTGGGCAGCCCGCGCCGGCTGAAGGCGAGCCTGGAACCCAGCAGGGGGCGCCTGAGTCTGGGCAGGGCAGGGGCCGGGAGGGCAGCGCAGAGGGGAGGCAGAGGAGGAGAGGGCGCTCACCTCCCGTAGTGCATCACGGAGGAGTAGTCGTAGGGCGTCAGCATGTTGCTGCTCCGGGACTTGATGAAGTTGATTTCAAAGCCTTAAAAAACACAACATGGAGACATAAGAAGAGGGCAGACAGGAAAGAGGCGGCGAGGGGTGGGGGATGCCTTCTGGGAATTTATAACCCACCTAAGCTGAGGAGTCTGAAACCACAGCCAAGTGTCTAGGACACCCTTCCCGCCCCACTAAAGGAAGTGTCTCCTGCTCTGCCCAGCTTTGGAGACTTGCCATTCCCCCTCACTGGGTCCTCCTGCCGTTCAGAGTGAGGCGCTGGAAGGGCTGGAGGGCTGCGTCCTCCCTCATTCCTCCCCTAGTTCCCCCCACATCCAGCTGGCCACTTCCACCCCCTCGCAACCCCCAAGTCACCAGCAGCCTCCTTACCACGAAGTAGGTGAGCATTCCAACACCCTTACATCCCACTGCCTACCTGAAATATCTGCCCCTAAAAGTCTTATTTCATCCTTTCAAAACCCCTTCAGCTGTTAAACATAATTTCGAATAGGCAGCATATTCATCTGCTTCAAAAGTCAGATATTAAGAGAGCTAGCAAAAGTCTCCTACTCCATCCTCCTCCCCGCCCCCACAACAGTTAATTACTGTTATTAACACACATATCCTAGCAGAGTTTGTTCTGTACGTAGTAACTAAATACAAACACATTCTCATTTTTCTGCATTCTTAAGAGAAACCATCTTTTTGTCTATTAGGGTGGCTCGTGTTTTAACTTGCTTTGTTAGGAAAACATTGAGTTTATTAGCGCTATTTTCTAACTCATTAATTTCTGCTTTCACCTTCATCAATTCCCTCCTGCTTTCATTTTTTTTAACTCGGATTGACACGCTTAATTTATTTGTTCTCTATTTTTACCGATATAAGTATTTGTCTACAAATTTTCCCTGAACGTTGCTTTATCTGTGAAACATGGGTTTTAATATAACCTTTCGTGATTTTTAGAATTGCTGCAATTTAACTCCAGAGCCAAAAGAAAGATTTGTTGATTTTAGTTTTAATTTCCAAGTGGGAGAAGATTTTGTTTTGATTTGTTATTAGTTTCTACTTTTTATTTAACATCACGATCAGAACGTTTCCATTAACCTGCTTTTTCAGATTTAGAGTTTTTCTTGGTGTATCATAGAGTGAGTCTCACAAGTGTTCCATGAGCACTTGGAAGGATCACAATCTCTATTTTCAGGGGACAGAGTCACCCGTCATCACCACCCCGCCATGCTATTTCCCCAGCCTAATCTGAGTCAATCTCCATCCCTATTCCTTTGTAGGGTGGTAGGGTGCTACCCATGTGCCCCAAAGCACTCCTTTCTGTGGGGGCTCCGTGTGTGTTGCTGTCTGGACCCTGGGCACTTTCCCCAGCCAAAGAGGCTTTCATGCTGGAAGCCCTCTGTTTGCAGGAAGCCTTCTGAGTCTGTCCACACCGCTAACAAACTCCTGGTTACCCCTCCTCTGCCCCCCTACCTCATTAGGCAGTTACCTTTATCCTTCTCACCTCCTGAATCAGGCCACTGAGCCCACAAGGGCAGGGACCCCGCTGTCACTAGGATCAGACCCCCAGCACCAAGCCCAGCACGCAGCTGCTGCTCCCCGCTGGCATGAAGCTGGGACCCACTCGCCACCAGCCTCAGATCTCCTGCTTCCTCTGCCCATGTGCCCATCAGTGTCCAGCACACTCCAAGCCCCCAGCGCTGCCCTCTGCCCCCTCCACCAGACACATGCAGCCTGCTACCTCCAGGGCTTCCGCCTTGCTCAAACCCCCCAGCTGGCACACAGTGGCACATGAGGGACTGCTGGTTGAGTACTCAATGAGTAGGGATCATAAGACCCTGTCAACCCCATCCTCAGGTAGATGACAGTGTCAGGGTAGAGAATGAGACACAAAGCAAATGGTGACACCCTAACTCAGGCACAACTGTGGGTGGGCACATGAAGGCTTGGAGCCCAGAACAGCAGAAGTCGGACAACCCTCCAGATCCCAGAGAGAAGTGGGACCCCACCTTTCCCATGAACAACAGGCAGTTGGCAGAGAGAAGGGACAACTACATCCAAGGAACCAGGTGACTCCTTAGGTCCTGGTCTGAGCCTGCCGTCCTCTCTCCCAGGACCAGCCTGGCCTGTGCACAACCTGGCTTACCTGGGAGGATCTCATTCCAGTCGACACGGATATAGTGGTCCCGGTCGGCCCGGGCGTGCTCATGCCAGAAGCCCAGCACATGCATGAGCTCATGCAGGACGATGCCCCGGCCCCTCTGGAGACAGGCAGGTGCCAGGGATACCATCTGCATCCCTCCACTGCGCCCCACGCCAGAGAAGCACCTGCAGGGCCACGAGAACGAGCTGGATGGGCACCGGCCCTGAGAGAGGCAGAGACCCAGGCCTCTTCCCTCCTCCTAAGTCACAGGATGGACGGGCACCAACGGGCAGACCCCAGCCTGGGCTCTGACCCCACGCTTGCTGTTCTCCCACAGGCAGGCCCCACCTACCCTCCAGGAAGTGGGCATATTAAACCCCGGTGACCAGCCTGGGCTGCAGGGAGGAGGTGGGAACTGATGCTACAGCTCATTGAGTGAGCACTTGCATGTCATGTGCCAAGTCAAAGCTTTCATACATGTTGTCTCAGGCCCCTGACAAGCCAGGAAGTTGGTATGGCCACTACCCTCACCTCAGAGAGGGCAGAAGAGTCTCAAGTTAGGGGACTTGCCTGGACTCGCACGATCTCACGCACTGTCTGTCCCACAAAACCTGCACTCCCTTGCCACACCATGGAGTCTTCCGGAAGGTGAGGGCTTCACAAATGAGAGTCTAGCACCCTGTTCCCATCCCATCCCCACCTTCTGCCCTGCGGGCCCAGCGCATGTTGGGCAAACCGCTCAGGGTACACAAGGGGACTTTGAACCCCAGAGGACAGCCCAGAAATAGGTTTTATAGGTTTTAGACACTGAGTTATTTCTGAGCTGAACACAGAAGCCAGATGAGACACACACACACACACACACACACACACACACACACACACGCTCGCGCCAGAGCACTTACCCATACATGGGGATGACGGAAATGAAGTCTCTCTGGCCCTGGTGGGCGACAAACCTGACGCATGTGAAACGTTCAAACTCAGCAAACGCCTCCAGGATGATGTTGCGGCTGGGCTCATCTGGGGAAGACACTCCCTGGCTGAGCTCCCAGCCAAGCCCCCAGAGCCCTTGTGGCCTTTGAAGTCTTCTTGGGGGGCCCGAGAACAGGGCTTCAAACTCTCTCCCCCAAATTAGCATCAAAAAAGGGCAGCGCAGTAGTGTTGGGGAAGAAGGCTGGGCTCCAGACAGATCCTGGCCACGTGACCTTGGGAAGGTCACAGTCCTCTGCACCATGTGGTCTCAACAGAAACCAGATCACCCTGAGACATACCTTCCCCATCAGCTCTTCCATGATTTTAACTCTCCTGACTCAGGAGGCCTTTGGGAATAAAAGTGCTTCTGTGGAAGGGCTCTTTGGGGCTGGTGGAGGGGACGCAGTGATGTGAGAGGGAAAGGGACGAGCGCCAGAGATGAGCCCATGCTGCATCAGGAAGAAGGGGCTGAGGCCACAGGGAGGCCCACACCACACTTACCATACTTGCTAGAGAGCAGGAAGGGGATCTCTACGATGCCATCACTGCTCTTGGGCCACTTGTTGCTGGTTGCTGACAACAGTCGGAAGGGACTCTAAGGAGAGAGAGCAGCTCAGGGATCCCTGGGGACATAGGCCAGCCAGGTGCCACACTCCAGGCCCTAAAGATATGGGAGGCAAGGTGTGTGGAGGTGGGGGACCATGGGGTGGGGGGACCGTGGGGCAGGGGACATCAACTAGCCAGCTATGTGAATCATGACACACAAGACAATCCTTTGGCCTTGTAACCAAACCTTGCTCCATCGCGCAGATAGAGCAAGATCAGCCCCTGGGGAGGCTGGCTAGGAGGCCCTGCACCCCAGGGAGCCCTGGATCAGGAGGGCTCAGGGCTTCATCAGCAGCCCCTCCCCCGTACCTTACCGGTGCCTGTCCCCAGAGCAGGGCAGCAGCCAGGCTTTCCTGAGGCATCATCCTGGCTTCAGCAGTCCCTTCCCCGCTCTCCAGCCCACCAGACCCCTTGAAGCACGGGCTCCATGGCTCTCCAGCACGGCGCCCACCAAAGCTGGATTCTGCTCCGCAAGGGTCACACAGCCACCTCCCATGTACTGACTGGCTGGATAACCTGGGTCTGCCCTGTCCCCAGGTTCCTGCACAGCCTCGGGGCTGGCCTGTGGCCCTTCAGCCCAGCCACATGCCATGCCACCCACAGGCAGCCTCTAAACCCGAGGGATGTGCTTGCCTTCCACCGGGTCACTGTCCTATTCAGGAGCCTTCTGCTGTCCCCAGTCGCCTAAAATATGACACTGTTCTCCTGGGCAGTGTTCCTTTCTCCACTGACAAGTCACCCCAATTCCCACCAGCCTCCGCCCTCTGACTTGGCCCCAACACCCCAGCCAAGATGGTCGGTCTCTCCATGTTACTCCTTGTTCTGGCTGCCCCAGTCACCATTGCCCCGCACCCCTCGCCTCCCACCCTACAGCCCCACTAGCCCCACTATCCGAGCCCTCCACAAGTACCTCCACTGGCAGGGTACCAAGCTGGGTCAAGGGGTCAAACCTCCTCCTCTAGGAAGCCCTCTTGGGCTGACTGCGCCAGCTCTTCCAATATCCCCTCCCTCAGCGCCCAGGCTGGCTTATTCTTAACAACACAGTCATGGTCGCATTGACCTTGACAAAAAGGTGTCTATCAGGTTATGTCCCTCACACGGTCGCACAGAAAGCCCCATGACACCTAGGGGTGGGTGCAGAGTGTCGCTGTCACCACCTGCGAGCTTATCTACGCCAGCATGTGTTAGCGTGTGCGCACGCTCACCGGCCGGATGATGTCCCCCTCGACGAGGAAGCTGCTCTCTGGGGTTTCCTCTGGGATGAGCCCTGGGGAGGGAGGGTGGGATGTGTGTTGGCCCATGCCCCCAGGACACACACCCTAGGGACAGGCCAGGCACCCCCCAGAGTCTGTTCTTCCTTCAACTTTGGAGCCGGAGCTTCTGTGAGCACCAAGTGTGTGTGGCTCGGGAAAGTGGCACAGCCCCCGAGTCCCGGCCTACAGATAAGTGTGTGCGGGTGCTTCTCAGCCCGGCTGCAGCCTCTGCCTGCTCGCAGCCCGCGGCCCCTGCAGTCCACGTGCCCCAGCCCCGAGTCCAGGTCCTCTGCCATCAGGAAGCGGCGGCCTTTTCTTCTAGCTGTCTCCATCCCCCACCCCAGCCCTCATCCAATCCCTGCCTGTGTTCTATCCAGGACCCTTGAGGTGGCAAGTGACAGATTCCAATTTGTACCACCACAGGAGGCAGGCAAGTCCTGGCCCTCACAGGCCCTCTCAGTTTGCCTCTGCTTCTCCTTGCCCTGAGCCGGGGAGTGTTCCGCAAGTGACTTACAGGAGTGACCTCAGGAGAAACTGTGAGGGAGCGAGGGGCGCAGGAGGAGGCAGGGGAGAACGAGCCTCAGCCTGATCTCACGGGAGCTCTCACAAATGGCACCACAGACTCATACCACCTTGAGGCTGGGCCAGACTCCCATTCCTTCTGAGTCACCGTGGGCCACCCCAGGCAGCGGAGGCAGCTCCCTTTGGCCAAGAGCCCGTCTCGTAGGGCAGGTAGAGTGTGTGTGCTAATGAGCAGCAACACCACAGCCGCTGGGGCTGGGCAGGTGCTTCCCAGGGGAAGGAGCATCGGGAGGGCAGAGGCAGCTGTTACTGCATTTCACACTTTACCTCACACTTCCTGGGCCACCAGCAGCTGAGAGTCTTCTCCACGGCATCCGACAGCCAATGCCAGGGAAGAGTCACTGGTGCTGGTAGCTCCAGACCATTCACAGTGACCCGAGGGTGGAGTGGTGCCCAGCTCAGGCTCAGCATATGCTCGGACTCCAATCCAGCTCAGAGAGAGGAGGGGGTAGATCCCTACCCTGCCCCGAGGGCAAGGTCATCCCTTGTCCCTCCACTGCTTCAGCCATGACAGCTCTAACATCTGAACCCCAGTCCTCGCTTCTGCTAGCTCTGTCCCAGCTGAGATCCTCAGACAGCGAGCCCCTGAGCCTCAGGCCTCTTTGTCCCCCGACTCCCTCACACCTGCAGACCATCCTGCAGGGGTGTCTGACGTGTTTTCAGACATCTGCTAATGACTTAGCCCAACACCCAGGCTCAGAGAGCCCCAACGACCTATACTTCTGTCAGGCCATTTTGTAAGAACTTACAGTTTTCCTGTAAGTTTTTTATAAGAAAGCTCATTAAAGTAATAATCCACTAAGAAAGATCTAAAAAATAAGCAATTGCCCATAGAATTTCTACCCACTTAGAGCCCGGAGTAAGCTGGTATATTTCCTCCCAGATTTTTCTGCATTTCCCAGCGTTTAGCATTGTTTTCACACAACATGGACAATGTCATATCCCTCCAGGCCACAAGACACAGTGCCCTCACCTTGGTTAATCGCAGGGATGTCCTTGTCCCAAGACGCCTGGGTCTCGTCGGGGATGAGGCCTTCTGGCAAGCTGGTACCACAGGCTCCTGGGTAGCTGGAGGCCAAGGGTGCTCCGAGGATCCAACCTGGCCCAGACAGACAGGCTGTGCAGGTGCTGGGGCATACAGACGGGGACATACACACAGACGCCTGCAGTGCCCCACTGGTGAGACCAGAGAGCAAGACTCAGCCCCTGAAGAAGAGTAGGACTAGCAAGGAGTCCTAGGAGCCTGCCTGGCCTCTCCTCTAGACCCCAAACAGTGCCAAGGCCTAGACTACTTCAAGGAAGGAGCTTCCTTCATGGGACCAACACCTGACTCAAAAAGGAATGCATATCACGCATGAGGCAGGGGAGGGGTCAGGGAGGAGGGGGGCAGGGACAGACCTCAGGTTCCAGCGCCAGTGGCAGGTGCAGCCTGCCTCAGGGGCCAGCCTCAGACCCTACTCCATGACCCCCTGTCTTAGCCCAGGCTTTTGGAGAATGGGCTCAGCCTGGGTGACTTACAGTCTCCTACCTCCACCCCAAGACAAGTAGGTCTGGGGCAGGACACCTGCCAGGCAGAACCTCTGCTCCCAGGGTTTTCAGGGGGCCTGCCCCATCAGCCCCAGAAGCTGACTGCTCCAAGGAACACCCCTGTAGAGCACCGTTGCTCTGGGCCATTGAGCTCAATTAAGATCCCGGCAAGCTCCAGCCACACCCTTCTGGCCTCTCCCCTGCATTCCAGAGGCTGGAGCCAGCACCAGGAGGGCCAAGAAGCCAGCTTACATGGCAAGGACAGCAGACCCAGCACCTGCGGCCAGAGGCTTCCCGTGCTCCGCATGGTGGATCCCTGCTGCCCCTTCAGCAAGCAAGAGGACTAATCCCGGGGGGACAAGGCAGCCAAATTGCACAATTAGGGCCATCACTGCCTCTTAAATAGCAGCTTCTCCAGCTCCCACCTGCAGCCCTCAAAACACCTCCACTGTAGCCCCGTCCCAACCACCTCCACCTGGAGCCCCGCCCAACTACCTCCACCTGCAGCCCCGCCCAACCACCTCCACCTGCAGCCCCGCCCCAACCACCGCCACCTGTAGCCCCACCCTACCTGTGGTCCCCATCCCGACCCAGACCCCAGCTTTTTGGGACCCTGGTCTAAACCCTTCCTGGCTGAAGTGGGTGAAAGAGTGAGGCGGGGAGTGTGTGAGGGTGTGGCTCTTCTGAGGTCCCCTCCTGCCACCAGGGGGCAGAGAAACATCGCAGAAAGGTGCCGCAGGCCTAATTCTCCAGCTGGGGAGCCGCCTTTTCCCGCCCCCACCCTGTGCTCAAAGCTGCCTGAGACCCCGGGCGCCCCCAGTGTATCTGTGGCAGGAGGGAAAGGTCACTACATTTTTATACGCTTGTATTTTATATACATATAGAGAAGTGCACAATCACAAGTGCAGGGCTCCACGAAATTTCACAAACAATACTCCATGTAACCAGCACCCCAGAGAAGCCTGCCGCGCAGGAACAGTGGAGCTTTGGGATGCCAGACCCTCGCGTGGCCACCACCCCTCTAATCTGCACTGGCACACTCAGTGTTTATTCCCATTGCCCGGATTCGGAAATTAAAGCTCCTTGCCTATGTTCCTCCTCCTCTGTACCCCTCAGCCTCAGCCAAGTCACCTGGGGGCCCCACCTGGATTGAAATGTTGGAGGCGAAGCATGGCAACACTGGGTGGCATCTGGGGACACCCCACCATGGCCACCAACGCCCAGAGAAGGGAAGTGACAGAGACAAGAGTGATAGCTAGGCCGGGCGCGGTGGCTCACGCCTGTAATCCTAGCACTCTGGGAGGCCGAGGCGGGTGGATTGTTTGAGCTCAGGAGTTCGAAACCAGCCTGAGCAAGAGCAAGACCCCGTCTCAACTAAAAATAGAAAGAAATTAATCGGACAACTAAAAATACATAGAAAAAATTAGCTGGGCATGGTGTCGCATGCCTGTAGTCCCAGCTACTCGGGAGACTGAGGCAGAAGGATTGCTTGAGCCCAGGAGTTTGAGGTTGCTGTGAGCTAGGATGACGCCACGGCACTCTACCCCAGGCAACACAGTGAGACTCTGTCTCAAAAAAAAAAAAAAAAAGAGTGATAGCTATTGTCCACAGGGACCCCTCACCACTCCTGCCATGCCTAGAATCCAGCATTTCTCAAAAGATAAGAACCACAGCAAGAACACGATGGAGGGCCTGCTGCCTGCACAGGGTACTGACAAAGTCAGAATGCACATGCTGGGCATGCTAATTAGCTTGGGTGTGGCCATGATCTCACAATGTATGCGTATGTCAAAACATCACGTTGTTCGCTTAAACATACAATTTTTGTTAATTATGCCTCAATAAAGCTGGAAAAAATTAAGTGAAATTTAAAAATACAGTCCGTTGAAAAACAAAGAAGGCATGAAGCTGACCGCTTGAGTGTTCGGTAAACAAAAATGGTGATAATAATAAATAATCACCCTGCTTGGGTAGAGAAACAGATTCTTGGCTAAGAAATGCAGTTGGTCTTGGGGACATTTTGCTGAGTGAATAAGCCAGTCACGAGAAGACAAATACTTCCACTTCCACGCGGTATCCAGAGGAGCCCACGTCAGAGAGACAGAAAGTGGGAGGGAGGTTCCCAGGGCTGGGGCCTGGGGCCAGGGGCATGGGGAGCTGTTGTTAAATAGGTACAGAGTTCCGGTTTTGCAAGATGAAATAGTCCTGGATGTCTGTTGTACACATGAATAGACTTTACAGTATTGGGTACTTAAAAATGGTAAAGATGATAAATTTTATGTCTATCACAATTAAAAGTTAAAAAAATAAATAGGAAGAAAGAAAGAGAAGAAAAAAGGAAGGAAGCAGGGAGGGAGGGAAAGAGACAGAGAAAGAGAAAGGCAGTTTGTTGGGAGACAAATGATTCAAAACACAGGGAGGGGAATGTGGGGTTGGGTGGTTGGGATGGGGCAGGGTGAGGGTAGGGTGGGCAGAGGCCTCAGCCCCAGTCCTGCTGTGTGTAAGATGAGGCTCTGTAGTGGGAAGTCCTCATGCCTTAGGGCCCCAGATGTCCCTCACCCACCTTGAGCTGGGTGCGTGGGTTATAGGCAGGACCCAACAGCAGCTCACTTGGGGCCTGAGGAAGGCAGGGTAGCAACCCCAGCTTGGCTCCGTTCTCACCAGGAGCACCTCACCCCACCCCTCAGAGAACAGAGAGAACAAGGGTGTGTTCACATCCCTCATTCGGCCTCATAGAGCCAGTGCCCACCTGTGCCGGCTTCCAGGCACAGGCCCAGCCCTCATGAGCACCCAGTCTGGTCCAGCTGCACACCTGCACACCTGTACATCTGACCCACGTCACTCCTGGGCCAGGTGCTAGCGTTCTCTGAGCACCCACCATGTGTAGGTGCTATATGAATTGACTTGTGTGGGTCTATACCCTAAGAAGTGGGGGCTAATGATGAAATTCCTTTTATAGACAAGGAAACACATACAGCAAGGTTAGGCAAAACTGGCCCCTGCCAAACTACATTCCCCCCCACCCCCACCCAGTGCCCCCTGCCAGCCACTGAGAATGTAAGAGATGGCACTGGGCAGGGCGACCCTTGAGCTAAGCCTGGAAGGTAAAATGGAGTCAACTGGATGACACCCCGAGTGGCCAAGTGTCAGCGTGAGGCTGAAGCAGGACTGGCTCCCACACAGCTGGCTCCCAAGTCCCTAGCACCCCCTTCCAGCAGCCTCAGCACTCACCCCTCCACTTCTGGCTTGGGCTGGGCCCATGTCTCTGTCTCCACAGACACCCCAGTCCTGTGCTGGGCACGTAAGCAATGTCCACAAAGACATGCTGGTTGGGTGGGTGTGCACCATGCCTTTTGGGGCCATGAAGGAGCTTTGGAACGGGGACTACCGAGGGCCCCAGTGTGGACAGGCATGCTGAGGCCTGGGGGCCAGCCCTGAGATGTGGGAGGAGACTGGAGAGGCTGTGCTGCCCCACCGTGAGGAAGCAGAGGCACACGTGGCCATGAGAAGAGCCTCGTACCTGGACACACACTCCCCTTGGAACACCCACGCACAACGTGCTGGTGTGCACAGGCCAAGAACAACCCAAAGCCACAGGAACCCACACACCTGAACACTTACATCCAGCCCATGTGTACCAAAAGGAGGCAGGGTCCGATCAGGGCAGCACGGGCCCAGTTCTGCGTGGTGGTTGGGAGCCAGCCTCCCAGAAAGGCCCCTTCCCAGCCCTGCAGCCAGAGCCCTGCCTGGGAAAGGACGCCAGCCCAGGGAGAGGAGCTGGGGCCAGGAGGACGGCCCCTTTAGGGAGAGGTCAGCCTTCTGCCCTCCTCTTCCCAGACACTGCGGGCACAGGGAAAGCTGGGGTCTGGCTAACAAACAGCTGACCTAGCATTCTCCTGGGCATTGACTTGAGACCAGACGTTTGGGGAGTTGTTGTTTCTTAAACAAAATAATATTTTATTGACACATCCTCAACGTTCTGTATAAATATAAAGTGCGAAGTTTCCAACCCCCACCCATAAGACTGGGAGGAAGTGGGGAGGCAGTGTTAAATGTCAGTCGAACACAAATAACTTTCCAGCGCCAATACAGGCGTGCAACGCTCGCATAGTACACACGCAAGCAAGAGGTCCGCAACACAACATACACATCACTTCCCGAGTCCCCAGCTCCCCCAGGAGCACAGGGCTCGGGATCCAGGCCTGGGGGGCACACCATCCCCGAGACAGGGTTCCTGGTTGTCACAGCTTGTTCCTTGGAGCTCTCAGGCTGCCAAGGGCTTCCATGTGGTAGTGGACCAGAGAGAGTCCCTGGGTGTAGAGTCCAGTTAATTTCTGCCAGAGGATGGGGAAGGAAAGTGCAGACATACCCTCCATGCCTGTCCCCTGCTCGAGGGCCAGCCCTCGATCCCCTAGCAGAAGAGCACCAGGTCAAAGAGGCCAGCATTCCAGCATTCCTAGCCCCCACCTGGGGGCTTTCCAAACTCCAGGAGGCAGCAGCCCTCCGAGAGCTTAGGGGGATGTGCTGGGGCAGAGGGGAGACCACCTGTCCATAGTCAGCTCCCCCAGGCATCAGTGAGAGCCAGCAAGGTGGCGGTGAGCAGGCAGGGGGGTCCTGCCTCAGTGACACAGCACCTGGGTCTCAAACTGCAGCAGCTGCCCCATGAAACTGAAGTTGGGGGAGATGACTCCCCGGCGTTGCTTAACAAAGTCGAAGGCCTCGTCCAACCGCACGCGGCGGCTCTGCATCAGGTATGCCAGGCAGATGGTGGCGGAGCGCGAGATGCCCGCCTGGCAGTGCACCAGCACCCGGCCTCCGCTGTTCTTCACTGAGTCTGCAAGGGAGATTGGGGGGAAGGGGTCAGACAGGAAGATGCATAGGCCAGGAGACAAGTGACCCCCAGCCCCCTCCTCTGGAGCCCCTCCAGATCCCTGGGTGGAGGCCCCCCCCACTTACCAATGAAGCCTATGGCCTCCTGGAACCAGGCACTGATCTCCACCATCTGGTTGTCCTCCACTGGGATACTCTTGTACCGGAGAAGCCCCTCAAAGTGGTTGGGGCAGCTGGCAGAAACGTTGAGGACAGCTGTGATGCCGCAGGCCTGCAACCCCTGAAGGTCTGAGGAGTGGCTGCAACTGCCCAGGAACAGGTAGGGCAAGATCTCCACAGGGCCACCCTGGAGAAGGAAGAGGAGCTGTGGTGAGACCTTCTCATCCCAATCTGGGAGGGCCTGAGCACCAGCTGAGTGGAGACATCATGGGCTGGCCAGGACAAGGGGAGCCCTCAGCCAACCCTCCCGCCCCAGAAAGATCTCAGGAATATGAGGCAAACACAAGGGGACGCATAGATATACACTCCCAGATACATATGCCCCCCCACACCCCAAAATATACAAACACAGACCCACAAAGGCACACATAAGCAACCACACTCCATACATATACACACATAAATGTGTGCTCCAATTTGCATGCGGCCACACACACAAAGTTCCTCACATTCACAAATGGCACGCTCTTTCCCTAGAGGCGCCTAGCCTGCGGATTGAGCATAGGAAGGAAGCAAGAGAGATAGTGACAAGGAGCCCTGATCTCAACCCACCTGGTCATAGAAGGGAGCCCTGGGGTCAGAGCAGACGTTTTCAGGTCCTGCAGGTGGCACCACCGGGGCAGGGGTCTCAGAGCACAGATCCGGGCAGCAGGCCTGGAAGCTGTCGAAGCCTCCTGCGGAGAGGGGAAGGACACGGTTAGCCAGGAAGGCCAGGCTGGGGTCCGGAGCGGGGGCCGGCCAAGAGCGGGCGGCACGCTCACCTCGGAGGAAGCACACGGCGGTGGGCCCGGCGCGCGTCTCGTGCAGCAGCGCGGCGAGCAGCAGGTGGGCCGGGCCGTCGGGCCGGAGTTCGGCCACTGAGGCGCTGCCCTCGTCCAGCACCACGGCGCGCGCCAGCTCCCCGCGGGCCAGACGCGCCCGCAGCGCGCGGTCGGGCAGCAGACAGGCGAGGGCGGCGGCGGGAGGGCCCCGCGCGCGGCGGCGCAGCAGCGCGTTCCAGGGCACTGGCCGTGCAGCGCGCACGTGGCGCCGGCAGAAGGCCAGGAAGGGGCGGCAGTCGAGCAGCAGCGTGCGCTCGGCCTCCCGCGGCTCCCGCAGCAGCGCGCCCAGCGCCGCGCACTCCAGTTCACAAGCCGCCTCCAGCCCCATGGCGACCGGCTCGGGCAGCTCCGCTTCCCCCTCTTCCTTCGCCGCTTCCTCCTGTGGCTCTTCTCGCCGCTCCTCCCCGCGTTCCCGGCCTCTCGTGGCGGTAGCACTGCGCTGCCTGTGCCGTCTGTTCTGGGCGCGCTGTGCAGCGGCCCGGCTTAAGTACCCGTGGGCCGGCCTCCGGGTCACCATACAAGGGCAGAGCAGGAAGGCGCTGGCGCCCGCCCCCGCGGCCTCACGTGGGGCGCAGGCTGGGCCCACCCGGGGCTCCCGGGGAAGGCGGGGCGGGGCGGGAAGGAACACACTGGCAGGAAGCCAGGGAGCCGCTCCTAAGGGAAGGTGTTCGCTGGGGTCAAAGGGGCCCAGACGCCCCCTAGCTTTGCGCCCCACCCTTTGACCTGTCCCCAAACACTCAGTCCTTCGGAACTCAGCTGCTCAGATGCACATCCCCACCTTCAGAGACTTCGGGGCCAGTGGTGTCCCCTGGCCTCTGCTTCCTCTCGGTTTTCCCTTTCCCTCCCAGGATTGTCCCCCTAGGGATTTGTTACAACGCAAATTGACAAGTGCCTCC